AACGTTAGTTAGAGCATTTTAAAAACGCACCGATTTTATAATAAAATTACTATGTAAATTTTCTAATAAAAATGATCAAAAATCTTACTTCTGTACTTAGTACGCCAATCATATAGTGCTGCACTATGTTTGTAAATCATAGGGCGTGGAACACCCCATCCTCTGATGCTTGATGTTCGGATCTTCTATTTTTAATATTTTCAAATTCTTTATTCGATCGATTTTGATATGTAATTGATGCTCGAAGTTTACTCATATTTAATGCTCTTGAAAACTAATATAAATAATTAAATATTATAATTTAAATAATAATTTAGTTATAATTATACTAATCGCACTAACAGTATTCAATATCATAAAATTTAAGATTATAGAACCAGAACTATAGTAAAGATATAGGTCTAAATTTAATTAAGATTTTGAAAATATTAAATATTTTTGTTTAATATATTTAATATTAATTATTTAGCTAGTTTTTGAGATATAGCAATTATGATATTGAATGCAGCTAATATAATTTAATAAAGTTAATTTAGTTATTATAAATACCTACAAGTAAGCGATTACGTCGATTTGTATAAAGAAAACCTATATATGACCATAATCGTTTAATAAAGGCAGCATTTACACAAATTCCAAATATTTTTTTTGCTACAAAACCAAGTTCATTTGACATTGGCACAACCCAACACCAAAAACCAAAAGCATCACCTTCAAATTGCTTAAGCGATTTTTCATCAAAAAGAAATACATATGTTCTAAATTGCTCATATTCACGCAAAATTGATTTAGATTCATTGCAGGACCAAACTTCATAGTAATATCTAAGACATTTACTAAGATAAACATGATTAAGATTAGTTACATTTGATTTAAACTTATTCATTCGATATTCAGGATGAAGAAGCCAAGATAAAAGAAGAAGTGGCTATTCCCACTGTTTTCATCTTGATTCTAATCATGCTAATATCCGTTGACCAAGTTCAAGATCATTATATTCATTCCAAAATTTTACAAAATAGCCAAAACAATGTAACACCTCATATAAGCGAGCATTATCTTTTTGCAAAAGATCAATTGTAATACTATATAGTTTTAAAAGTTTACTAAGTTTAGATAAAGTTTGTTACCATGTTTCATTTATAAGAATTGATGAAAGATTTGCTGAAAGATATAGTGAATTTTGTAGACTAGTAGTTTCAGATAGATCAAATTTAGAACCAAGTGTCTAGTAAATACTGAAATATTTAAAGTTATGATTTATTAATACTTTATATAATTTAAATACAAATATATATAAATTATATAATTAACTTACTCTTAATGCCGATTTTGATTTAAGTAAAGAACAAAAACATTCTAAATGACTATTTTACTGTGTATCATTACTGATTGATATTGCTATATATTTACATAAGACTCTTTTTGCAAATCTCTTAATTGCCCTATAAAATATTTGTGTTGTGTAGATCGAAAATAAGCAGCTACTTTAATTGCATTAATTAAAGCTTAGTGAAATTCATTTGACTCTTTAAAAATTTCTCCCACAAATAAATTCATTTGGTGAGCGAAACATGGCAAGAAAGTAATATTAGTATATTTTAATCGAAGACGTCGTCTATAAATATTTAAAATAATAAATTTTATTTTAATTTAATAATATTTTTAAATATTTATTTTTTATATTTAAGTTACTAATTATATATACCTTGCTACAGCATATGATGATGCACTATTGCAGACAACTGTATTTAATTTAATACTAATTAAATAATATTAGCAAACATTATTTCAAATTTTTCAACTACTTCTTTATATCTTTCCCTTTCGCTACTTATATCAATCCCTTTCTAAATTAATACCTCTCCTTTTGATGTAATAAAAACTGATCCCATTATATTTTGATTTATCACATTTGTCCAACTATCAAAAGTTAGTATTGGACCAACAGAATCTTGTTTAAGTTTTGTTATCATATTATTATTATACTTTTTTATTTCATTATCTAGAATTCTTCCACCTAATGCATGACGTCTAGATAACTTAAGAGAAGGATTTACAAATTGAAATAATTCTTGAACCTCCTTATTCTGTGTCTATTGCAATACCAATCCGGCT